AATTACAGTGGCCGCCACAAAAGCAGCATGAACTGCAGTTCCCATTACCTATGTCTGAAGTGTTAGTCATGCATTGATGCATTCAATTAAAATGTGACCTGGGCATTGTGAGGAGCAACTATTTCCAACTCCCATGATGAAGAGCAGAGGGGTTAGTACTTTGCATCATCTGTAGGCATTACTTGTACCTAGTCCCTTCTCCGTGTGTTCTTTTTCTATTCACCCTCCTAAATTCCAAAGCGGGGCTAGTTGTACAGCTCAGAATCTAGGAAGGTCTTTAAAATCTCTTCCGTAAGGTAGTATTTCCTGATGAGCATCTGATTAGAGAGCTCAGAAGGCTCTTTCTGCGATGAGAAATAGCTGCTTAGGGAGTGAAAAGAGCAGAGAATGTGATCAGGCTGATGAATTTACTGAACGACAAAACGTCTCCTGCCCTGCATCCTACAAGGGAGGCTACACAAGGGTGATGTGGATTACAACCAGCAGAGTGTGACTATACCTGGCTTGGGAAACCTCTCTCATCTTTTATTGCAAGGGTTCACAAATGGACAGCTCTGCTGTATCTCAACACACAGCACGTTTTGCAGACTTCCGAGGCAGCTTACTGGGGATAGCCGCATAAGAGTAGGCAGCTGCGGGACTTTATTTCATGCCGTTAGTCTCACACAGTTTCTCTTCTGCCCTTGAGGAGGAGGCAGAAGTGGGCAGGGGACCTGTTGGTGACTGTTTTTTGTGGGGAAAGCCTTGGCTTGTAGCTTCTCCTTTCAATGTTTGTCTGCTTAGCGATGCAAACATCATGACAAATACTCTGGGCTATTGTCGGAAAGAGGCGACAATAGCCCATCAGAGCCTCCCCTCTAGGGAGCTTAAGCTATTTTATGCAAGTTCTGAGGTTTGAAAAACAGATACTAAAATGATTCCCATTCTTGGTATGTGCTGCATTGCCTGGAGGCTGTGCAGCTCTGAAGTGTACTTAATGTTTGCTTCTTGATTTTGCTTTTCTTAGGACTGACTCAAGTCCCCCAGGTACAAAAGACAGAAATCTCCTTTACTGCCTCTGATCCCAAAAGCTTTGAGCTGTATGTGAGGAACATTGAGAAGTTCTTAAATGACTACAAGGCTGATCAACAGACTGAAAACATTATATTTGAGGAGTGTGGGGGTAAGTCTGGATTGCGTCCTGCAGCTGAGGGCTCTGACCAGTGCCTCTGCATCAGGTCCATCAGAAGCTGAGGGTGAGCAGTGGTGCTGGTCTCTGTCTTAGACTGCTCCTTTTATTTATTATGGTATTTATATAAATATTATAATTTCTTTGCCTTCATATAAATATTTATATAGCAGCATGTTGGTAAACTGTCAGGCTCTGGTTTCAGTCATATGGGTGCTCATGAAATCAGTTTGGTCAGAGCAGACTTGGCCAGAGATGTATCTAGAAGCTTATTGTGGAGGTTGTTAGGAATTCCCAGATTTCACTTGGGAGAAAGTTCCAGCTGACTGTCAGGAGCACGTGGCACTGACCTTATCCTCTCTGAAACCCCTGGGGGTTTTACTGATGACTAAAGATAGTGTTGGTCCTCTTGATGCAATGCAGCAAAGTATCTGGGAGGTATTGACTTTTAATAGATTATACATAATACTGCAAATGGGACTATCACTTTGTAGCACGTGCATGTGAAATCTGAGGGCAACCCACTTGTCATCTGGAAGAATCCTCAGTTAAAAACCAAAAGCGCTGCAGACTTTGCATGGTGGGGAGGGTTGGGATCAGGTCTGGGGTGTCACCTGTTTGGATAAGGGGGAAATCCAAACTACACAGTGAAGCATAAGTGTTGCTGTTCCTGACACGCAGAAGATCATGGTTGTCTTTTCATCCTCCCCCCATGACAGACACTCCTGCTGATTACAAAGAGAGAGGACTATATAATGATGTCCAGGGCCAGAAGAAGGTCTGCAAATTCAAACGTGAATGGCTGGAAAACTGTTCTGGAATAAATGATCCCACCTTTGGGTACGGTTATGGCAAACCATGCATCCTCATCAAGCTCAACAGAATTATCGGCTTCAAACCGAAGGCAAGTATCTCTTCCCTTTCTAGCAGCAGCTACTGAGGTGGAGGAGGAATTGGCTGCAGATTCGCTGTTCCTGCTTTTGTATCGGGAGAGAGATCAGTATTAAACCCCTTCTGCAGAGGAGAAGCTGTGAGACAAATTGAGCAACTGGCTTTAAAAAAAAACTCTTCAGTAAAAAGCAATGAAAACTGCACCCCACAAGTTGGTAGCAGGTAGCAATGATTGCAAACTCCTGCTTATTTGTCTGCTAACTTCAGAGCCTGCCAACTGAATTGCTGTAATGGGGGATTTTCTTCAAATGAGAAAACCCATTTTAAAGTTCCTGTGTGTTTCCATGGGATCATCCCAGACCAACTGTATCTGTAGTAAGATCAGTACACTGTGTCAGGCTCCAGCCTACTCTGTTCTTTCCTCAGGCAGTGTGGAGCTGCTAAAACTGCTTAATGAAATGAAGTAGTGCTAATATTAACTATCAGCCTGAAACATAGGCTATAAAGTGTAAATGACATCTGTGTCAGGCACAGCTCTTACTGCAAGGAAGGTGAGGACATCTTTAGTTATTTAACACAGTTTCCCAGATGCTGTAGGATGTCTGTCACCCACTTGCTCCATGCTGCACCTGAAGTCATGGTTGCAGTGATGCTGAAGGGTGTCAATCTGGACAGGAGCGGCTTTTACTTCTAGGTTTTTTCTGTTGAATGAGATGGTGTGCAAAACCTGCCACTCCATCTTCTGGATGGAAAACAGTGCAAACGGTGTGCAGGCAGCTGGCAAATCCTTCCTGCCACTGCCTGGCTTTGCACGGGTGACACCTTGAAATTAAAACTACCCTGATGTGCCTGCCTTGGTACCCAGAGCAGTAAGGCTATAAAGAACAGACAACAGCTCTGCTTGAGTTAGGTTCCCCTGCTTCTAGTTGTGTCACCGCTGCTCTTCTGTCACCACCGAGAGCTGCTGTCTTCTGTATAACAACTCTTTGCTTTGGGTTTCTTCTAGGCTCCAGCAAATGAAAGCCTACCTTCAGATGTTATGGCAAAATACCACCCGTATCTCATCCCTGTCCACTGCACTGCCAAGGTAAGTTGAAATACACTAGAGCAGAGCTGGGAAGCTGCAGGGGGAGGCTGAGTCTTTGTCTGCATGTAGCTGGTCCTCCTGCCTTCCTGCAGTCAGTGGCGGTGGTTTTTACTTTGGCTATCTCCCCCTTTGGGACAGGAGCTTCTCGAAACCCCACTGACGATGTCACATAGCACAGTGCTGCCCTCACAGGGAGGGTTAGGAGCAGGGCCAGGTAGTAGAAGGTATCCTCAAAAGTAGATATTTTTGCTTCCAAGCACAGATGGCTGAAAGAAGGACTGTTTTACGTAGCACTGGTGAAGCAGCAAACTGTTTTTAGCCAGAGCTAGTGCACTGGTGTGACAGGAAGCTGTGGTGGTTTCTGAATGCGTAAAGGGGTTGAGGGTTCAAATAAAGAGAAGGCATTTTCTTGGCTGACGTGTGCTGGAAGGTGTTTCATGTGCAGCTACTGGTTAGACAGTGCTATGTGTCCTCCCTGTCCTGGAATGCCCTCATGCTGTTGAGGTGAGGGTCAGCAATGGTCAAAGAGAGGTCATGGTCTCAGCGAAGAACAACCAATGCTGGGAGGAAAAACGGCTGCAAAAGGTAAGAGTTTGGGTGAATGCCAATGTTTTCTCTTCCTTTTCCCGCCTCTAGCGAGAGGAGGATGCAGACAAAATAGGCACAGTGGAGTACTATGGGATGGGTGGCTACCCTGGCTTTGGCCTGCAGTACTACCCCTACTACGGGAAGCTCCTGCAGCCACGGTACCTGCAGCCGCTGGTGGCAGTGCAGTTCACCAACCTGACCTACGACATGGAGGTGCGTGTGGAATGCAAGGCCTACGGGCAGAACATCCAGTACAGCGACAAAGACCGCTTCCAGGGACGCTTTGATATTAAATTTGACATAAAAAGCAGCTGATTGTAAGCACAACTCTGTCCTCCCCCTCCCCCCTTCCTCCTAGCCATTTAAAAAGGTTAAAAAAAAAAGAAAAAAAAAGAACAAAAAAGAAAACCTACTAGTCTTGAACAAACTGTCATACGTATGGGACCTACACGTAATCTATATGCTTTACACTAGCTTTCTGCATTTACTAGGTTAGAATGTAAACAAAGTGTAGCAATAGCGACAAATATTTATTCTACTGTAAATGACAAAAGAAGACAAAATTGAGCCTTGGGACATGCCCATTTTTACTGTAAATTATGATTCCATAACTGACTTGTAGTAAGCAGTGTTTCTGGCCCCTAAGTATTGCTGCCTTGTGTATTTTATTTAGTGTACAGTACTATAGGTGCATACTCTGGTCATTTTTCAAGCCATGTATTGTATCTGTTTTCTATTTCTCGTGAGCAAAGACTTTTGCTGTCCAAGGTGTAAATACTCAGTGGGACTAGAACTGGCATGATACTTCTCATCATTTTGTTCCTTTTCCAAGAAAGGCCCACCTGTAAGACTCTGTTTAACAGCACTCCATAAGGCTTCTGACTCTTCTGTGGTGGCAGGGTATTTTATTTGGAGGGGTGGCAGGGGAAACTGACTGAAGTGACACTAAAGAGACGGTTGGATACCGTACTGTGCTCGGTAGTGAGTGCTGTCTCTCCACTTCTTCCCTCATGCTCCAGTACGTCGTGTGAGAGACCGGGTCAGGCTATCGCTCTCCTCAGTGATAGGCATAACTCTTTGCTTTGTATATTTTCTTTTTCTTCTTTTTTTTCTTTTCCTGCTGGAGGCATCGCACACTGTGGTGCTAATGTCTTTATTGAATGTTTTAACCATTTTCATGGTGGAAGAATTTTATATTTATGCAGTTGTACAATTTTATTTTTTCTGCAAGAAAGTGTAATGTATGAAATAAACCAAAGTCACATGTTTGAAAATAAATCTTTATTTTAAACTTTATAAAAGCAATGCAGTACCCCATAGAATGGTGTTAAATGTCGTCTAAAGTGCAAAACTCTATGTTCTAACATGTAATAATAGCCAGGAGTACAGTGCTCTTGTTGATCTTGTATTTCAGTCAGGTTGAAACATTGGACAAATAAATAAATGAACACACCATTCCGTCTGCATGTCTTCTGAGTGGGTTGGGACAGGCTGTCAGTTGTCCAGAATCTTGAAGAAGTACTGCACCTATTACAAACAGAAAACAGGCCTTGATCATTCCCAGGACACCTCTGCTGACGGTGCCTAAAACATGCACTGGGGTTGCCCGACAGTGCTGCTCCTGCCTGTGAGCAGTGGTGTTTGTTACGCCCAGCTCCAGTGCAGCATGCTTTGGTGTTACCTGTGTCCCCCTGAGCTGCGTGAGTGGCTCCTGAGGCCCCACCTCCCTCTGGTCACACCAGTCATGAACCCAGAAAGTCTTCAGTGTACCCACAAGTACTGCAAGTACTCCATGGCTAGAGGCTCAGGCCATACACGCAGTAGTAGCTGCAAGCTAAAGTGGTTTATCCTTAGTGTGGATGAAAGTGTCCCCCAGCAGCACATGCTGCAGGTCCAGAGGGGAGGCCGCACACTTGGTGTCACAAGCAGAAGAAATGGAGTTTCATGGCAGTGACTTGCTCTGTGCTGCTGCTGGGCCAGCAGCATGGTGCTGAGGCCAGGCCCTGCCTGACAGGGCTGCTCAGCCTGACAGGATGTGGCAGCTGCCTTCCTGTGGGAGTCAAGATCACTTTAGGCTGTGTGACATGGGTTACAAGAGGGAACTGCTCTGTGGTAAGGTGACTTGACTATTCTAGAGCAAGCTGCTTGATAAAGCCTGCCTCATTCGGAACGCGTGATACTGGAAAAGCAGCTGCTAAACTTTTCCCCATCTGCTAGAAAGAAAAGCTCAATCACAGCACGCTGTGGCAGCCAGTATACACATTTGTCTGTTTGACACGGTTCCCTAGGAGCAGAAATCTCCCTTTCCACTGTTCCATTTGCTGCTGCATGTTTGCAGTGAGGCAAGGAATTAACAAAGACGCTGTGATTAAAGTGCTAACATACTCCTTGAAGGACGCTCTGCCTGCATGAGGGCTGCAGGAACACTGAGCCACTTTGGCTGCCAGCAGTTGCTGGGTGCCCCACTGACACTATCCGGGGGAGGGGGAGGTGGGGGTGCTCATGCCTCAAGGTTCAATAGGATCGACTGCCCCTGCTATTTGCATCTTGGGTGCAGGGCCTGTGACAGTTTAAAAACAAAACCAAAAAACCCCACAACCACTAAAACCTGCCCCCAAACTGCTTCATTTGTAAAAGGCCCAAGTCACAGGTAATTTATCTCCATTTATTATATGAGCACAAAGTCCAAGTATGAACTAGTAATAAAGATAATGGCCTAGTGCAGGGTTTGGGACAACCACTGTAGAAAACTTAATGGTGCCCATGCTGGCTCCATGGAGCCATGTCTAAAGAGGTCCCCATACTGTACTCTTGGCAACCGCATCTGACACAAAGCAAAACCAGACCTTTACCTGCCCCATCACTTTCTAGCACCAAAGCAGTGAAAGCTGGGTGGCCTGCACTGACCGTTAATTAACTCAGCAGTAATGGCAATAGCTACCGTGGCCCTGTCCCCTGCAGCCATCAACTGCCAAGACCCCACTATTCACAGGCCTCTTGACCACACTGTAGCAAATGGGCTGTGCCCCACCATCCCCCCCAAAAGAAGCCAACACAAGCCCCACAGCCTCACACATCCCCTCTCCCCATTAGAAATGCAGCTGTAATGTGTCAGACCGAGGGACTGCATTAAAAGGCTCCAGGAGAGTTAAAAAAACCCCAGCAACCAACCAAACCACCAAATGCTGCTACCACACAGCCTTGTTCTGCTTCATGGCTGCTCACTGGCTGGGGGGCAAGCAGGGGAAATGGTCAAGCTGTGACATCTCATCAACCCAATATAAAAGTTGCACTGCTTTCCTTTTTTTTTCTTTCCTGTTTTAAATCTGTGCTGTACTGCCCATGGAAAACCCGCTCTCCTCAGGCAGGCACCGCTCTCCTTACTGCCTGGTAGGACATGTTATAAACTGGCAGTGTGAACATGTTGTTCTTTCTGCCAGATTGGCTCAACATAGTTAAATATAATTGTAGCTATTAAAGAGAATTTTATCTCCCTGCTTGTTGATACAGGACACCTGCATTTCAAGGTTAGAGACACACAAAAATGCTAACAAAAAGTGCAGAGACAGACACGCACAGACACATTTAAGGCCCAGGCCCTTTAAGGCTGTGTCCGCATGAACGCCTGCACTATCGAGCAACCTGTTTTACAGCTCTGAGCACTGGCACTTGCAGGCTTCTGTTCACAGCCTTGTTCCCAGCCTGGCTGAGGGCAGCCGGCACGGGGCAGGAACGACCCTCAGCATGTGTGGGAACCTGCGCCACGAGCAGAGAAAAAGGCCAAGCACAGCACAGGCTGTTCTTTGCGGGTCCTAACTCTGGGTCCAGCCTCAGCCTGGGGTGCCCATACAACTGCTGCCACCACAGGCACTTTCAATGGAGCTGTGTCTACTCCCACTGCTTCCTCTGGGCTACCTTGGCCAAAGCAACGAGTCCTTCCTGGGGTTCAGTAATGGTCCACCCCTGCAACACACGCCGATGCAGGTGAATGCTGTCCTCACTCCACTCCCGCCCCCTGGATGTTAGAAACAAAAGGCATTACACTGTTTCAGTCCTTAAAAGCCCCTGATTTTATGCAACTGATTTTCCCAGGCCAGGCTGAACACCCTCAGCCTGCTCACAACCTATGGGAAAACCCTTTCTCCTCAACTAGCTTTTATTGGATTGTTGAAGGTCCATGCAGACAGTACTGGCAAGGCTTGGACATCAGAACAAACATGCTACGTATTGTATAACATGCAAAACTAGGTGCCAGTATGTTCTCTCTGTGTATAATTATCTTTATGTGGGTCGGCTGCCACCCAGCTCCCAGTAAAACCAGTTAAGAGCTGGCATGTATGTGGTACACAAGAAAGATCTCTTTAACAACCTCGCCCTTAGGAGTATGGCATTGCTGGACAAGATATATCAAAAATAAGGGCCATCTGTTAGTCTGCTCACACAACAATACTTACGATGCTTTGCAAGGATTTCAGCACTACCAACAGCTTTGGGGTGCCACTATTTTACAAAGCCCCAGCTGGAGGCACCTTGAAGAATCACATTCTAAAAGCACCAGGTAGTTTTCCAAGGGGATCCAGGATCTGGAGGTACTTGCACCAACCAAGCATCCAGATGGGGGTTAGGTATTCCAAAGCCCTCTGTATTTTAGGAAGTCCAGTCACTCACTTTCCCAGTGTCCGAGTACAGTATAAACCACCAAAAAGTAAGCTGTGCCTGTACAAAACATCTCAACAAGCCCCAGGGCAAGGTCAGCTTCTCACAAGCCAAGCACACCTCTGATCTCTTTACAGGACCCAGAAGTGGCAGAGGACAAACCCACACAGGAACTGATCTGAAATGAACCAAACACATTCCACAGGTGCCACCAAAATGTCCTTCAAATGATGCCAACATTCAGGCGTGCTCACTCCTTTCCAGGGATGAAACAGGATTAAATTTAACATCAGCATGTTACAGATCCCAGGAACCATCTACCTGCTTTATAGCATGCAGCTATGCCTGCTCTAGCTCCTGGTCAGGGACAAACAACAATAACATTCAGGAAGTACTAACGGGTGAATAACTATGACCTCCTGGCTCTGGCCAGAACTGCTTCATAGCAGAAGCTGAGAGCTGCTTTAGCTCTGTGAAGTTTCACTTCAGTGACACAAGTTCCCTGCAAAACTCGCATTACTGAACTGGATGCTCCCTCTGTGTACTTCCATGCACTACCACTAAGTTTCAGTGGTTAATACAGCAGGCAACAGCAAAATCCAGTTTAATGGCCTGGCTGAGCACAAACTATTGTCATCTGAACAATGTGTGCCCTAAGAGCATAGAGAGGCCAGGTGAAATGGGAAGCAAATCAAGTGAGGAGCCACTCTTCCATAGGAGAGCAAAAAGATATTGATAATAACGTGGGACCCAGCGCAGGCACAAAGTGAAGATTTCAAGTATAAGAATTACAGACACCTACAATTTAATTCTCCTCCTGCCCAGAGAAGCAGCGCTGAAGAGAGGTGCCAGCTGAGCAGCTCTGGAGTCAGAACTTTTGTCTACAGAAGAACAGACCCAGGTATGCGCTGAATGGTATCAGCCTGAATGGTCCTACAGGCACCGCTACAACTTGCCTCAGAGAAAACCCTGTTACTGAAAGGGGACCTCAACATTCGTGGTCCACTTCCCCTGTTTCCCTGGGCTGTCAGTTTTCAACAAGAGGCCCTGTTAGAATCATTCACAGCAGAAGCAAAGGGGCTGACAGGAAGGCATACTGGTAGGAAATGCTGAGATCACAGATTCAGTTCTCATCCACCACCAGAATGACGACAGCAATTTCAGTCCTTCCTCGTCTCTGCTGAACCAAAATTGGCAGCTGGGAGTTAGAAGGCTTTTTCATCCCTGTATTAATTTAGAGCCTGACAGTCATCTCGGTGCCTTTCACGCACCTGGACACGTCCTCACCAGTACACTCTCCCCAAAACCACCACTAAACTGTAGCTCCTTGTTTCAGCACAGGTATCCAGGCACATGATCCAGAGAGCCTTTGCTGACCTCCAGTTTCAGCAGCACTGTGCTCTCCCTGAACACTTAAGCCTTATAATTTCTTACATGTTATCTCAGCTTGAGGTCTCTAGTAGGAACCAAAAATCTCTCCTTGCCCATTAATCTTGGTTTGTACATCATCATAAACCTGCCAACTCTGTTAGCAAGTGCACTTGCTAAAACCTAAAATGTATTTCAGCTACAGTTCACACTCAACTAAATCATGACTAAATCATTGGGTTAACACACTGAAACCCCATGGATTCATACCATCCTTCCAGCCACAAGCAGTTCACAGACATAAAAAATGGTTGTCAAAGAAGAGGGTCTACTTACTCACTGTTTTATTCTGAAAAAAAATTATCTTCCCACATTAATCTGAGGAGGGTTTAAGTCTTGGGAAGATCGTTCAGAAAACAAAAAAGGAAAGTCAGTCACCCCTGCCTCTCCCTCAAGCGTCACACACTGCAAGAAATGAAGCCGGTCAGGCTGCCCAAGGCAGA